TTACTACTACTAACTACTACTACTACTACTACTACTACTACTACTACTACTACTACTACTACTACTACTACTACTACTACTACTACTACTACTACTACTACTACTACTACTACTACTACTACTACCAATAATAATAATAATAATAATAATAATACTAATAATAATAAGAATAATATTAATACTAACAATAATGCTATTACTACTACTACTAATAATAATACTAATAATAGTAATACTAATACTCATACTGATAATAATAGTAATAGTCATACTAATAACAATAATAATAATAGTAATAAGAATACTAATAATTTCAATAATAATAGTAATAAGAAGAATACTAATACTACTAAGAAGAAGAGGAGGAGGAGGAGGAGGAGGAGGAGGAGGAGGAGGAGGAGGAGGAAGACGGTTGGGGGAACTGGCAAGAATACGGACGCAGCGCACAGCTTTTTCAACGTTGGGCAGACTCCCGCCTCTGCGCCGGTCGCAGCTGCTTCAGTGCCAAGCAGTGTGGCTCACGGGCGTGGGCCGCAGCGCTTCGGAGAAGGGAGGAGTAAGAGGAAGAGTGGGGGGAGATCTTGAGGACGGAGGTGGAAGCAATGGCCAAGCGAACATGCAATCAGGAGGGAGGACGAGGGGGGGAGGAAATGGAGGAGGAAGAGGGAAGAGAAGGAGGACAGAGGAGACAGGGTATGGGTAGGAGGAGGAAGAAGAGGAGGATAAGGAGGAGGAGCCAGGAGAGAGGAGGGAGAGGGAGGATGGGCGGCCAAAGAAAGATCCCACGCGGCTTGGCAGCGCCGCGCTCTGATGACATGTTGGTCCTTGGCACGGGGTGCGGTCTCGACCAGCGCTTTCGGTGAGCAGTGCGCGCTGCCGCAAATGCTGCAGGCAGCGCAGCAGCGAGAAGTCCAGCTACGCACTGGTTCGATGAAGCAGTGCTCGGCGTCCATGAAGCAGCATGCCGAGATGACGCAATGGGCCGCAGCACTCGAGTTGTTTGAGCAAGCGCTGCGGACGCAAATAGAGCCGGATACCATATTTTATAACAGCGCCATCAGCACTTGCGCAAAAGGCAGCCAGTGGCAGCATGCGCTGCAGTTGTTCACCGATATGAGGTTGGCGAAATTGGAGCGGGATGTTTTGTATCCTACAGAGCAGCCGAAGCTATGAATAACACATTGCCCTTCCGACAGGTGCCCCCTGGGAGTTCGTCACATAGCAGGTTTGGAGGCCACCTCAGGAGTGACTCCCGCGGTGGTTCGAAGGCACCCTTGACGTACCTCTTCTCCTTCCAGTAATCCTCTCCTTCTCCTCCTCCTCTTCTCCCTCCCTCCTTCTCCTCCTCCTTCTCCTCCTCCTCCTCCTCCTCCTCCTCCTTCTCTCCTTCTCATCCTCCTCCTCCTCCTCCTTCTCCTCCTCCTCCTCCTCCTCCTCCTCCTCCTCCAACTGGCCTCTTTTTCCACAGCCGCCGTCGTTGCCCTCGGGAGGCCAGAGAGGGCCCCCTGTCGGACAGGCGTGCGCTCCGCGTTGGATCAGCACTACACGCTGGTCGTTGAGAGTAGGCATTTTTGGATTCCCAGATCCCAATCTGCTTCAAGCGCATTTGTACTTCAATAGGGGAACGAAAACTGACCTAAACATAAAAACTCGGAGGTCCGCGCGGATTTCTTGGATCCGCGCTGGACCCTTCTCCCTGGCGCGCGGAGCGCGTCAGGGGCGGCGCCAGAGGCGCCGACAGTGGGCCCCAGCGCCGATCCGAGAAATCCGCGCGGATCTCCGAGTTGTTATGTTTATGTCATTGTTCGTTCCCTTACTCAAGGATCGACACGGTCTTGCTGTGTGTTGTTATTCTCTGGGAGGGTCTGGACCCAATCCACTTCATCCGCCTTCCGACCTCATGTTTTTACCTGCTTCTTTCGACCGACGTGTACTCCAGATTTCGTAATAAAGGGAGGGGGGTCTCATTTCGGGGGGGTCTCTTCCAGGCTGTCTTGGAGGGCCTGGGGGGGTCTGGGGACGATGTTTTGGAGGGTTCTCCCACGGGGGAGGTCTGAAATGGCTTGTCTTGGAGGGTCCAGACCCCCTCCCTTTTATTACGAAATCTGGAGTAGCTGCGCCCCTAGGGTCCGCATGGACCTCCACGCCTCGCAGGCGTGCCTGAAGGAGGGCCCCTGGCTGCCAGGCCCGAGCCACCACCAAAGACCCCCTCCAGGGACGCCATCGAGACTGGCCCTGGAGCCCCCCAAAAAACCTCGGGGATGGGAAGGGGGACGGTACACCCCCTCCCGAAGGGAAGATGGTTTCGGAAGAGGAAAAGAAAGCAGGGCTGGTGGGATTTCGATACTGGGCCCGCGGAAGTCCAGACCCTTTCCCCGGCGGCTTTACCTCCTCCGGGCCCCCGCCCTAAGACATCCCGAGACCCAGCCATGAACTCCCCAGAACTTTTCTGGATGCTCATGTCAGGAAGACAATCATCGGGCTGGCAGGATGGGGCTGGGAGAAATGAGGATATCCTTACCCGTAGGCGGCCGAAGGTATCGTTCATTGCATCTGGATGCTATTGCTCATGCCATTCATCCTCCCAACCCCCTCCTCCCAATACGATAGTTGTTCTCCTTATGATGGGCTCGCAGGGACGTGCGATTGGCAGCGATCGGTGACGGCCGCGATGGAGTTTGAAAACGCCGCAGAGACGATGTCTTGCCCACCCTTTTTGGAGAGTGTTGGCGCAGAAGGGGTCGCTCAGTTTGCTCCCCAGACTCCCGAGACCCGACGTGCTCCTTGGCGTGGTCGGGGCACGGCGTCTGCCAGAAGTGCAGGATGTATCACAGCTCGCCTTGTCCCACACGCTTTGCTACTGAGGCACTCGTGATATCCTTAGCGAGCTTGTCGCTCTGATCCCTCAGCACCGTGCGATGAGCCGAACACATTGGAGCCGACATGTGCGCTCGTAGCTGGCCATCCTTATCTCCAGGGGCTGTCACGGAGGATGAAAGCATCTGATCATTATGGCGAATTTGGATTGTAATGCACGGACGGGCACACTCATGTTAGTCATAACGTTGCAATCAGCGCTTGCGAGAAGAGCGGTCGCTGGCAGCATGCGTTGCAGGTGCTAGGTACGATCTCGCGAGGAAACGCAGATGTGATCAGCTACAGTACTGGAATCAGTGCGTGCAGGAAAGGCTCGGAATGGCAACAGGGGTTAGGGCTGTTCAACGAGATGCGGGAACAGTCGATAGAACTCAATGTCATCAGCTATCCAGTTTCGCCTCTGCCCATCTCCGCTACTACGCTTGGGGAAGCTGCGCAGCAACGGTGCAGCGGGGCACGGTCATAGCAATGTATGCCTGTCGCGATGCCTCTTGGGAGCCTCTTGGAGCCTTTTGGTGGCCCTATTGGGTCTCTTGGGGGGACGTCAGGGAGTCTTGGGCCGTCTGGGGCGTTGGCCAGTGGAGCGAGTCACGAGGCCGTCTTGGGCGGTCTTGGAGCCGTCTCGGGGCGGAGGGGTATTACTTGCCTGATCTTGGGCTGTCTCACGGCTGCCTGCTTGAAATCCTGGTCCGCCGCTCCTCCTCCTCCTCCTCCTCCTCCTCCTCCTCCTCTTCCTCCTCCCCCTCCTCCTTTTTCTGCTATTGTTCCTCCTCCTCGTCGTCGTCGTCGTCCTCCTCCTCCCTCCCGAGGCCCTCCTGAGGGCTTCCTGGACCGCCAGGGAGCTGCGCGGGGCGGCCCGAAGGCCGTTCGACGCAAGGGCACGGGAAGGTTCTGGGCCAACCGGGGGCTTCCTGGAGGGTGCTGCGCGGGCCTGGTGGGCGGGCTGCCCAGGGTCATCGGAGTGCCCTGCGTGGCCTTAAGGTCGGGCCTGTCCTTCTACAGGGGGAACATCCAATAATAGTCAGAAAAGATAGCCGGGGGATTTGTTTTGAGTTTTTTTTTGTGACCATCCGGGAGTATTTTTGTTGGAGTACTTTTTTAATTCTTGGGCGACAATGACCCTGTGTGGGGACACGCCCGACTCAGGTGCAGCCGCGCGTGGCGCTGTTGCGGGAAGTCGTGGGGCCCGTGCGGGGGAGGGCCCGGACGTGGCCGTGGCTCAGGCCGGCGCTCCCGGGGCCGGCCTCGTGCCAGCTTCGCCCCAGCCGTGGCCCTCCCGCGAGGCCCCAGGGTGCCATTCGATGGGCCTGTTTTGCACCACCACCACCGTAAGTTGGAGGGGGAGGGGGTCCTCCTCCTCCTCCTCCTCCTCCTCCTCCTCCTTCTCTCCTCCTCCTCCTCCTCCTCCTTCTCCTCCTCCTCCTCCTCTCCTCCTCCTCCTCCTCCTCCTCCTCCTCCTCCCCCCCAACACTTATGGTGGTGGTGGTGGTGGTGGGAAACAGGCCCATCATTATTCGGGGGCGGCGGTTCCATTCAGGCTCGTGCTGCCCAGAACCGGGTAGGCTCAGTCCCAAGGTGTCGCGTCCGCCGCGCATGGGCGCACAGGCCTGGCGTTGAGAGATCACTGGTGTGTTTGCCTTCGTTTCGTGGGGGCGCAAAGCATGGCCTTGCAAGGAGCATCGTTTGTTTGACGACTGAGACGAAAGGCACACGGCTCGGCGCGCCTCCACCGCTAGCGAGGTGGCGGGTAACAGCGCAATAAGTGCGTGCGAGAAGGGCGGTCAGTGGCATCAGGCGCTGTGGCTGCTCACCGAGGCGTGGCAGGCGAAGCTGCAGCGGCGCACCGTCACGTGCAACGCCGCCATCAGCGCGTGCGAGAAGTGCGGCGAGTGGCAGCACGCGCTGCGCCTGCTCGGGCAGATCCACCAGGCGAGCGTTTTTTCATTCAGTGCTCTGCCGATCGACGCGGGCCCTCGCACCCCCACCTCCCCCACGAGCAGATCTCGGCTGTTTTTGGCGCCTGCTTCGAGCAAGTGGAGTCTCCCCCATGGGGCACGCTGGTGCAAACAGTCGCGCTAAGCAGAGGTCCCGAGCCAGGAGCCAGGCCCCCCCTCTTCCCCCCCCTTTCCGCCCAATGCCGAAACGCCGAATAAGAAAACGCTCACAAGGCGAAGTTAGAACCGCAGACCACCAGCTGATGGGCCAGTTTTCCACCACAATTACCATACGTAAGAGAGGGAGGAGGAACGGGAGGAGGAGAGGGAGAAGGAGGAGGAGGAGGAGGAGGAGGAGGAGGAGGAGGAAGAAGAAGAAGAAGAAGAAGAGGCGGAGGAGGAGGAGGCGGAGGAGGAGGAGGAGGAGGAGGAGGAAAGAGGAGGAGGAGGAGGAGGAGGAGGAGGAGGAGGAGGAGGAGGAGGAGGAGGACCTCCCCATCCTCCCTGCTCCCCCGTCCTACATATGCTAGTGATGGTGGTGCAAAATGGCCCATCGCCAGCTACAATGCCGCGATCAGCGCCTGCGAGAAGGGCGGGCAGTGGCTGCCGGCGCTGCGCCTTCTCGGCGAGCTGCGGCACATGCGGCTGGAGCCGGCAGAGATATCTCTTCCCGTCGACGCCAGGGGGGGGGCCTGCGCCGCGAGGAGCCAGCGGGCCCAGCTGGCGGGGGAGGGGAGGGGGAGGGGGAGGGGGAGGGGGGAGGGGGAGGAGGAGGAGAGGAGGAGGAGGAGGAGGAGGAGGAGGAGGAGGAGGAGGAGGAGGAGAGGAGGAGGATGAGGAGGAGATGAGGAGGAGGAGGAGGAGGAGAGGAGGAGGAGGAGAAGGAGGAGGAGGAGGAGAAGGGAGGGGGGGAGGGGGAGGAGGAGGAGGAGGAGGAGGAGGAGGAGGAGGAGGAGGAGGAGGAGGAGGAGGAGGAGAGGAGGAGGAGGAGGAGGAGAAGGAGGAGGAGGAGGAGGGGAGGAGGAGGAGGAGGAGGAGGGAGGAGGCGGAGGGGAGGAGGAGGGGGAGGAGGGAGGAGGAGGAGGAGGGGGAGGAGGGGGAGGAGGAGGAGGAGGAGGAGGAGGAGGAGGAGGAGGAGGAGGAGGGAGGAGGGGCGAGGGGGAGGGGAGGGGGAGGGGGAGAGGGGGGGGGGGGGGAGGGGGAGGGGGAAGGGAGGGGGAAGGGAGGAGAGGGGGAGGAGGAGGGGAGGAGGAGGGGGAGGAGGAGGAGGAGGAGGTAGGAGGAGGAGCAGGAGGAGGAGGAGGAGGAGGAGGAGCAGGAGCAGGAGAGGAGCAGGAGGAGGAGGAGGAGGAGGAGGAGCAGGAGCAGGAGCAGGAGCAGCAGGAGCAGGAGCAGGAGCAGGAGGAGGATGGAGGAGGAGGAGGAGGAGGAGGATGAGGAGGAGGAGGAGCAGGAGGAGGCGGAGGAGCAGGAGGAGCAGGAGGAGCAGGAGGAGCAGGGAGCAGGAGGAGGAGGAGGAGGAGGAGGAGGGGAGGAGCAGCAGCAGGAGGAGGAGGAGGAGGGGGAGGAGGGGGAGGAGCAGGAACAGGAACAGGCTATCCCACGTAGTGGTTTGAGAATTTCTGGCCACGAGTGAGCTTCTCAGCAACAGTGAGAGCTTGCGGCCATAACCCATCTTCGATACGAGACAAATATTATCGTCGATGGGATTCAAGCTTATGTGAGCATGGTTTCGACAGCTCACGCATAGTAACATGAGCATAGAAACCACAAACTTGACAAAACCAAAGATGATGGGCCCTCTGGAGCCTCACGGAGTGCGTCTCGTGAGCCCAACCCCCCGCAATGTGGAGCCGCCCCCCCAGGGGAAGGGCAAGTCTTATCGTTAAACAGGGTCGGGGTGAAACACGGGGACTCATGCCACTCCTTCAGAGTGGCCCAGGTGGCTGAACAGAAACAACAAAGACACCTTTTCCTGGACTTATCGAGCTGATGGTAAGAAGAGAAAGCAGCCATAAGGGCAGGGGCGGGAGGACGAGGGGGGGACGAGAGGGCCCCGATCTCCTGCCTCCGCCACCCCGCTCCTCGGCCTGCATGGCGTCCAGGGACGCTCGAAGCAGGCGGTGCCGCACCTGCCAGGCTCTCTTCTCCTCGAGCATGACCTTATGCCTTGCTGCCTCTGGGATCTGGGCGCGGGTGGCGGCCTCTCCCGCGAGCACGTCAGCAACAACATTACCTGCAACAAGAGCTGAGGGAATGGAGCGATCAACAACATCAGAACCCGATAAATGAGAATTGGTGAAAATCATGGCAATCTCTCCAACCCTCTGTGCCAGAAGCTTTGAAACTCTCAGCCACAAATCGGCGTCGGCACCACTCGGCACCTCGCATTTCCCGCCATAAAATCCTCGAATCACCGACTCGTTGTCGGTCACATAGCAGATATGGCCAACCGTCGTGCGTAAAGCTAACTCGAACGCCAGCAATTCACCACGAGGCACTGATTGGCGGCAGCCTGGTAGCCGTCCAAAAGCAGACGACCGAATAGAGAGTGGACAACAACAATCGAACGTGACAATTGCAACCCCGACGCGGCGAAACCTGCTTTCACCAGAGGTGTTCCCACCAGAAGCGTCGCCGAAGACCAGGATCGGGTCCCCAGGTTCCCCACGGCCCATGGATCCAGCACTCAAATCATTGCATCCAGATGTCCACCAGAACTCGGTGCCGGGAGGAGGAGGAAGTGCAGTGGCAGATGCTGGAGTAGGGCCACGTAGCCAGAAAGAAGGTAAAGCCTCTGCTTGAGTGAACGCTTCTGCAACAAGATCCTGTGATTGCTCATATGCCGCGGCACCGACATTATCTTCGCAACCCCAGGCACGATGCAACGCCGTTTCAGGATACTTCTGGCACCGCGGGCAGAGGTCGTCAAAGCTGGCGTCAAGCTCCGTATTAACGCGAGCCCTGGGCCAAATACCCCCAACGGCAATCGACACCATAAGTTCACTCAAGCGCTCACCTTGCGGTACCAGCTTAAGCTGGGAAGTGAGCCTGCGATAGGACGTGTTACCCACGCCATTCTGAACGCCATCTCCACACCAGTGCTCGGCCGCGCGGTGCCACAACTTAGACTGAATAGATGGCATAACGTCTCGAATAACAGGTTCGGGAGAATCTATAATAATATTACCCGAGAGCCCTTCTTCAGGAAACCTCCAGGCCTCCAGGTCTCCAGGAAAGTCAGAAGGGGCCTTCCAATGATCGGGCTCCAGGGGTTCCCATCCAGCCTCCAGCAAGTAAAGCATGATGGCCCCCATGGGCCCCCTAACATGCCGCGACCGCTGCTGAGGAGCGACCTGCTGAAGCTTCCGCAACAAAACAGGCCAGGCCCTGCGTACTCCTGAACGGATGGAAGGTTGCATGATCCATTGCCTCATCCAACATTCGAAACACAGCCGAGGGAAATACACAGCTGGGTCTCCCATGGGAGCCCTTAAGTCCAGGAGGGTCGTGAGGCAACGCCCCTTTTTCCCAGATCCACAAACAGCCCCCATTTGACGACGGCAACGGATCATAGCCGATCCAAATGCACCATGAATCTGATGTGCATAGAGCTGCGATGCAAGAGTGCCAGCTCTCTCAAGCTTGGCTGTAACAGCATACTTGCGTGCAGCACGCGCAAAACGAAGTACTCTGGAATGCATTGGCACGCCTTTGACCACGCGCTTAGTACGATTGCCTCGGGCATGCCTCCTGCCTCCTCCCAAATCCGTTCCCAAGTAGCCTGCCTGCGCCACTGCCGAAACTGTGAATCCTGCTTGTGACAGCCGACTGGCAATGACCGTGGCATCAGGAATATGCGAACAGATGATCACCGACTTTGGCGATACACGGAGCTGGGCGCTTTGCAGGCCGAGACAAGTGGCCAACATACCTTTAAACAACTGCTTGCGACTGCTCGCCCTGGACCCAACAACTTTTTGAGACAGATCGTCGATCCAGATCCTGGTGGACATGCTTTCGTGTGCAATCGTAATGCGATGAACGACAAAAAAACACCAAACACCTGGCAAATCTGGTCCCTGAACGGAGTCCTTGGATAATAGACCGCGACGGGCAGAACGCTTCTGCATACGAAACACTCTGCCCCAAAGTGCGAGGCGAGACACATAGAAGTAACCCTAACTATAGAATAGTGGCTGGAAATCCTAGCCTCAAGGCGGTCCGAATAAGCGCCACCCATTCCATCGAATCGTAAAAGTTCTCTACATCTGGCAGACCTTTACCTGATGGTACCCCCAGCGCGCCAGTCACCTCATCCTCCAAAACACGATGGAATGCCTCCTGCAAGGCTCCATTGCCTTTGACAGCTGCGTCCCAGCTTGGCTCGTTGGCCAAGCTCCACGCTTGAACGACAGGCTCCCTGGCCTTAGACCAAACACGGGTAAACATGACAAGAACTCCGATCGCTCCATCCCCTTTGGACTTTTTGGGCAAAAGCCTCCCAAGAACCAGAGACACTTGGGCGGGCCAGACCAGAGTTCCTTCAACAACCGAAAACAAATCGCGAAGCTCGTCAAGAGCCAAGCCGGGTAGCCTCTCATAATCCAACGGAGTGGGAACATCCGCTCCTAAGCCTGCGCGAGGCTTGAATGACTGTGCTGCGCTACGTATATCTGCAATATCCAATGGTTCTAGCGGCTCTAAACACGCAGCCGCACGAACTTCTTCAACCGCCTGGCATACTGCATCAGTGTCCACTGGGCTGGGGGTCCACAACTTGATAAATGGTTTGGCTTGCTGGTCCACCATGTCGATAGGATTGCAAAACACGGCGGTTTCAGTCGCCATTTCATCGGCGACCTGGGGATCAGCCCGAATCGCACGATGCAGTGAACCCTCAGCCTCTTTGGTAGTGATCCAATATTTAAACTAGTCGAGAGAGGCGCGTACTGCCCTACGTCGGCATCGCGTTGCAACGCACTGTGCTGCCTTGACAATCTTCTGGAGAATATTAGCTGAAACTGAAGCCCCTCTTTGCATGAGCATAGACCACGCTGCCCAAGACGGCTCCACCCCAGACCGAATCCCCGCATGGGCCCTGTCGGGGGCCTCATCCATAAGATGCCGAAGCGCCACTCGTAGTTGCTCTCTCTGAACCATACAGTGCCTTTGGATCTGTGCCCCTGAAAACGTTCCAATGCAACCGAAAGCTGTTCCCACCAGGTAGCGATAACATTGCTAAAAGGTGTTATCCGAGACTTGTTCGGGACACGCAGCTGGTGAACAACGAATGTGTGGCCCTGTGCCCGCGAAATGCCAGGTAGTGGTGCTATGCCATGATGGTCGCATATCGTCAACTCGGCTGCCTTCACCCAAGGGCCATATAACGCAGAAACCGAAGCTACGTATTGGGACCCGAGCCTGGCAGCTACGGGGGCAGCACACGCAGGAGCAGGCGACGGCGAAGGCATTGAGCCAACCTGAGCACGGGCATTCACCCAAGTCGCATCAGGTATGTTCAAGGGAAGAACATTGGTCTCTTCGACTGCACCTGGGGGGGGACGGCTCGACACAAACAGCAGGGGGGTCGACTGTATGGCTCAGAGACGACGATATGTGATCATCACCAGCAATGCCCCACGCGAGAGACTGAGCGTAGTGGGGCAAGTGAAATCGCCCTCCCATGATGGGAATGCCGTGCTGGCCCGATCGGCCCTGATCACTGCCGTCAGAAGGGCGCGTGGGGTCGTCCCTCTCAGAGCAGGCGCATCCTGCCGCCCCTGCGAATCTGACGTGTGAACACCTACGAAATTCTGCTCGTGCGCCCAAGGATCCTCCTCGGATGGCACATCAGACAAATCATCAAGATCGGTGGGTGCGCTGACCTCGGATGGGAGGGGGGAGGGGGAGGGGAGGGGGGAGGGGGAGGGGAGGAGCAGGAGCAGGAGCAGGAGCAGGAGCAGGAGCAGGAGCAGGAGCAGGAGGAGGAGGAGGAGGAGGAGGAGGAGGAGGAGGAGGAGGAGGAGCAGGAGCAGGAGCAGGAGCAGGAGCAGGAGCAGGAGCAGGAGCAGGAGCAGGAAGCAGGAGCAGGAACAACAGGAGCAGGAGCAGGAGCAGGAGGAGGAGGCGGAGGAGGAGGAGGAGGGGGAGGAGGAGGAGGAGGAGGAGGAGGCGGAGGAGGAGGAGGGGAGGAGGAGGAGGAGGAGAGGAGGAGGAGGAGGAGGGGGAGGAGGAGGAGGAGGAGGGGAGGAGGAGGAGGAGGAGGAGGAGGAGGAGGAGGAGGAGGAAGAGGAGGAGGAGGAGGAGGAGGAGGAGGAGGAGGAGGAGAGGAGGAGGGGGGGGGGGGAGGAGGAGGGGGAGGAGGGGGAGGAGGAGGAGGAGGAGGAGGAGGAGGAGGAGGAGGAGGAGGAGGAGGAGAGGAGGAGCAGGAGGAGGAGGAGGAGGAGGAGGAGGAGGAGGAGAGGGGAGGGGAGGAGGAGGAGGGGAGGAGGAGGAGGAGGAGGAGGAGGAGGAGGGGAGGAGGAGAGGGGGGGAGGAGGAGGAGGAGGAGGGGGAGGAGGGGGAGGAGGAGGAGGAGGAGGAGGAGGAGGGAGGAGGAGGAGGAGGAGGAGGAGGAGGAGGAGGAGGAGGAGGAGGCGGAGGGAGGAGGAGGAGGAGGAGAAGGAGGAGGAGGAGGAGGAAGAGGGGGAGGAGGAGGAGGAGGAGGAGAGGAGGAGGAGGAGGAGCAGGAGGAGCAGGAGCAGGAGCAGGAGGAGGAGGAGGAGGAGGAGAGGGGAAGAGGAGGAGGAGGAGGAGGAGGAGGAGGAGCAGCAGGAGGAGCAGGAGGAGCAGGAGGAGCAGGAGGAGGATGAGGAGGAGGAGGAGGATGAGGAGGAGGAGGAGGAGGAGGAGGAGGAGAGGGCCTCGCAGGGCCTCGGGCTTCGCCACCTCGAGTTCTCTTCCATTCAGGAGGGGGAGAAGCACACAGACACAATTCATCGCCGGTTCCCCAGAAGATATGGGAACATATGGGAAGTGGGGTGGGGAAGACGATATGGGGAATCTCGTTGTTTGTGTGTGTGTGTGTGTGTGTGTGTGTGTGTGTGTGTGTGTGTGTGTGTGTGTGTGTGTGTGTGTGTGTGTGTGTGGTGTGCGTGCGTATTTATTTGTGTGTCTTTGGGCCCCTTGATCCACGGCTGCCAAAGAGTGGGTGCCGCCGACGTCCGCGAGGCTGCGCCAGAGATTGACGGCCCAGGAGCATGTCTAAACCGAATGCGCCACTGGGGGAACAGGCATTTCTTACTCCTGCCCCCGAATTTTTCTGATCCTGAACTTCTGCACCATCGTCGAAGTGAACACATCGTATCCACCTGCTCCTGGAACTGGAACAGGTGGCCGACGAGCTGGTTGCCGGGGACGGCTTCTGCTGCTCGCCAGAGAAGCTCGCACCACGTGTGACAACATGCGTGTGCTGCAGAGCTGTCCAGGACGCGCCCTTGCACGATGCGTGCGGGCAGGCCGCGTGCCGTCGGGCCGAACCTGCAGAACGTCCCGTACGAGAGGGCGCCAGGGCCGCACGTCCCAGAGCAGCATGGCGTACGGCAGGAGCCGGACGCCTCGGGCATGGCGGTGGCCGCAGCGACTGCAGGAGGTGGACCGCAGTGCGCCCGAAGGGGGCCGAGGCAGCCAGGCCTGGAGCAGGGCTGCCCCTCTGCTTCGGCCCCGTGCCTTTGGAGGGGGGGCGGGAGGCAGGCTCCGTCTGAAGAAGCCCAGCATGGTTGCGGGAAGGAGGGGGAAGGAGGAGGGAAGGACAAGGATGAGGAGGATGAGGACGAGGACGGGGGCGAGGACGAGAAAAAGGAGGAGGAGGAGGGAAAGGAAATGGAGGAAGTGGAAAAGAAAGAGTTTGGAAAATGAGGAGGGACCATAGATGGACAAATCACGACGGCAGACGTGTGTGTGTGTGTGTTCATTTGCGTCTCCTGAGGCCATCTTGGGGACCAGACTTGCAGAGACCGACCACACAGCGAAGTTCATGCGAAGCATTGGCTCTAGGACATCGCTGGTACGGGTCTGACTCTGCTCCCATCTTTTTCCACAACAGTCAGGGTAGTGCCACGGGATCGATCAGACGGCACAGTCTTCTAGAAGACGAGAGTGGAGATCCCATGGCCCCTGCGAAGCTGTCATCCATTTGTGCATTTGAGAGTTGGGCCAAACTCAGGTTCTACGTCTCATGGGCACGGTTCCCCTCATTTACCATGGGAACCGCCTTCTCTACAACATAAGAAAGCGATCATTGATCTCGCAGCCGTCGATACTGCTGTCGGCGACAGGCTTAGCTCTTGAGGACCGCGTCTCGTTGGCGCCGTGGGGGCCCCGAGGACTGCAGACAAATAGCGATCAACGTGCCCGTCCTACTCAGCTACAACGCTGCGATAAGCGCCTGCGAGAAAGGCCAGGAGTGGTGGCAAGGCTTGTTCCTGCTTGGCGAGATGCGGCAAGCGAAGATTGAGGCGAGCATCGTGAGCTACAGCGCTGCCATCAGCGCGTGCGAGAAAGGTGATCAGTGGCAGCAAGCACTACTGCTGCTCGCCGAGATGCGGCAAGTGACAAGCGGCTCAAATTCCATCAGCTACAATGCTGCAGCTAGCGCGTGTACAAAGTGTGGCGAGTGGGAACAGGCAGTGCTGGTGTTCACGGAGATGTTGCGGACTCAAACTCCAGCAGATGTTACAAGTTTTTCTGTTGCGATCAGCGCGTGCGGAAAAGGGGGGGAATGGAGGCACGCGTTGCACTTGTTCAGCGAAATGCGGCGCGCAACATTGCAGTATGATGTGTTTAGCTATAGCGCTGCGATTAGCGCATGTGCGACAAATGGGCAGTGGCAGCAAGCGATGTGGTTGTTCAGCGATTTGCGGCGAGCACGCTTGGATCTATGTACAATCGATTACAATGTTGCCATCAGTGCATGCGAAAAGGGCAGCCAATGGCAGCAGGCATTATGGTTTCTCAGCGGGTTGTCGTGGATGCAATTGGAACCAGATGTTGTGAGCTACAATTCTGCAATCAGCTCGTGCGAGAAATGTGGGAAATGGCAGCATGGGTTGCATCTGCTCCAAGAGTTGCGTCAAGAGAAGATGGAGCCAGACATAATCAGCTACAACGCTGCCATCAGTGCATGTCAAAAAGGCACGTGGCCGGGAGCGCATGGCGCCAATCTTGCCGTCCATCTTGGGTTAATTTTGGAGCCGTGTTGGCCCCCTCTGGGCAATCTACAGCCATCTGAGGCCCATCGGAAGCCAAGACAATTGAAGTCAACACCATAGAAACATGTGCATGTTGATTATTTCGCCCTGCAGAAGGTATCCTTGATAGGCTCCAGGGCCACCTCGAAGCCATATTGGGGACACTTGGGGGCTTTAGGGGTCTCCTTCCAGGTAGGATTTGGCCATTCGGTGTTTGTCTCCGCAGGTTTCATCAGGGAACCCTGCGACGCTTGAACTTCCTCAGAAGTGCTTGGGCCGACAGGCACATATATGACGACTGATTCCAGAGTGACCCACGAGATGTCTTAGCCTTGTCGTGAAGGACATGGGTCTTGAAAGCAAAGGGTCCTAGACCTCGTGCTTTCCCCCAGGGCAAGTTCTTCACGCGGAGGCGATTTTGACAGTCCCATGCCAGAGGCACGGTGGCGGATTGGCTGATGCGGCCGGTCAGAGACTCCGCACATCGGACTTGTTCATTTTGGGGGCAGTCGGTTGATTCTCCAGGTCGCATCGATATTTCGGCAAGCCAAGATTAGCGCCGTGCCGCTTCGCCTTGCAGAGGTGGCCAGTGGCAGCACGCGATGCAGCTGTTCAGCGAGTTGCGGCTGAAGCGTATGGATCCTGATGCGACCACTTGCAGTGCCGCAATCAGCGCATGCGGAAAGGGTGCGTGGCAGCAAAGCTTGTCGTTGCTCAGGGAGGCGTGGCAGGTGAGATGGCGGCCAGACGTCTCTAGCTACAACGCTGCAATGAGCGCGTGCGACAAAAATCACATGTGGCCGCAGGCTTTGTCCAAGACGCCTGCGGCGAGTCATCGCCGGCCCCTGTCTTTCTTTCTGGAAGCGCCGATGTGGCCAAACGTCGGGCCAGAGCTTGGCCAAGCTATGAGGCGGTGAGATCCTCCAGCTACTGTGGGAAACCACGGCAGGGAAGCATTTTGGGATGAAGACGGGGAAGAAGGAGGAGGAGGAGGAGGAGGGGAGGGGAGGGGAGGGGAGGGGAGGGGAGGGGGAAGGAGGAGGAGGAGGAGGAGGAGGAGGAGGAGGAGGAGGAGGAGGAGGAGGAGGAGGAGGAGGAGGAGGAGGAGGAGGAGGGGAGGATGATGATGATGATGAGGAGGAGGAGGAGGAGGAGGCGGAGGAGGAGGTGGAGGAGGATGAGGTGCAGGAGGAGGAGGAGGATTGAGGAGGAGGAGGAGGAGGACCAGTGTAAACCCAAGAGTCATCAACGATGTTGGAACAAACCCTCCCTCCAAGCTCCCACTTCATAGGCCCCTACAACGAGCGGTTCATTCCCACTGCGGGAACTGCCTCTTTGGAAGACACCCGTTTAAAGACTCTGAAGCATACCAAAAGATTGTTCTCGGGTTTCCAATGCCACGGATCAACCTGACTGTTTCGTCTTGACGATCCTGAATCGTGCCAGAACGCCATTCCTGGGATGTCAACGCCGCGAATCAACGTAATTGTTGCACCTTTCTAATTCTGAATTCTTCCAAAACGCCATATCGTGTACGCGGATCATGGAAATCCGTGAAGCTCTTGCAACGTTTACAAAGGAATGTGCGCGTCGCTAAGGCGAGCAACTTTTTGAACGAACGTGCGCGGCGCTAAGGCGAGAGCCACATTTTGAAACGACCCGCCCTCAATCCGTGAAACTCTTGCACATGTTTAAAACGAATGTGTGCGGCGCTAAGGCGAGAGCCACATTTTGAAAACGACTCGCCCATTTGTGAAACTGTTGCCACTTTTTAAGCTTCAGGGTCCTGAGTGGTGAGGGAGTCTCAGGCGAAACGCCCAGCCTGCCCTACAAACTGGCCTCGGGGTGCGACAGGGAGAATTTAGACACACACACACATATATATGGACAAGGTAAAGGAATGGATGAGGAGGAGGAGGAGGAGGAGGAGGAGGCTCTTGGGCCTCCTGGTGGGCTCTGCGGGCCTCTTGAAGGCCTCTGGGGACCTCTTGGGTGCTTCTGTTGGCCTCTCAGTCAGGGGCCTCTTGGCCTTTGGAGGCCCCCTTGGGAGCCTCATTTGGGGCCCTCTTGGGGTGCTTGATGGCCGTTTGTGAGGTCTCTGGGGCTGTCTTAGGGGCGCTTATTGGGCCATCTTGGCCCGTCACGGGGGCCCTCTTGGGTGCTCGTGGGGCCGTCTTGGAGCTACCTTGGAAGCCTCCGCGGCCGTCTTGGGCTGTCGGACGCCCGAAAAGGTGAACACGCACCAGTCGCTCAAAACCTAAGGGCGTCAACTATTGTGGCTTCTTCGGGCCCTCCCAGAGGGCCTCTTGGAGCCCCCTTGGACCGTATGAGGGGCCTCTTGGACCGTCTCGAGGCCAACTGGGGCAGTTTTGGGGCCATCTGGGGCCTTCTTGGGGCTATTCTGGCCGTCTTTGAGGGGTATGAGGGCCTTCTTGGCCGTCCTGGAGGCCATCTTGAGGCAGTCTCGGGCGGCACAACGATGGGGATGCATCGCTCCCGGGTGGCCAGCGCAATCGGCCGGAGGATTTGGCACGCCAAGCACCTTTCTGCAAGCAATGGGGGCGGCGGATGTTGTGGCCTTCGGCGCTTCCCGCCTCCGTGTTTGGACTGTGTGTCGCAGGCCTCTTGGATGCCTCCTGGGAGGTCTTGGGGTGCCTCTCGGGGGGCATCTTGGATACCTCATGGGGTCTCCTGGGGCACTTCGTGGGGGTTTCTTGGAGGTTTCTTGGATGCCTCTTGGATGCCTCTTGGGCGCCTCTTGGGCGCCTCTGAGGGCCTCTTGGCGGTTTCGGGGGTCATCCTGGCACCAGAGGGCTCATCGGGCCAGTTCGAGTTTATCACTCCTGGACGGAACATATTGAAAACGCGGCCTCGGGAGCAGTCGCGCGGGATTCCCGAGAGCACCTGTGACTTGAGAGCCTGGGCCCCTTCAAGAGCACTCCCTTCTCCTCCTTCTCCTCCTCCTCCTCCGCCTCCGCCTCCTCTTCCTCCTCCTTCTCCTCCTCTTCATTGTGGCTATTGTATTGTCGAACACTTGTCCAGGCCACGGCTCACAGCACGCGCTTGCCTATTTTCAGGGGTCGGCCTGTGCGGTGCTCCCAGTTTGCCCACCGACCTCTTGCTTCGCGACGCGGCGTGGCACCCGTGAGCTCTGTGAGGAAGCAGCCTGCAGTGCTCAGAGCAGAATCCGAAGGGGCCCGAGCACACCCCACTCAGTGCCGAGGGGCGCGGTGGCGGATCTCTGCTCGGCGAGCTGCGGGAGGCGGGCATGGAGCTGGACGCGTTCAGCTACTGCGCGGGGATCTCTGCGTGCGGGAACAGCCCTGGAGGCAGGAAAAGGGGAATGGCATGGAGGGGTGTGCCGCCGATGCTGAATCTGGCGGTGTTCGCCATCGTAGAATGCCGTCTACATGTCCACGATCGGCGCCACACCCCTCGATGCCACGCCTTCTTCTTTCTCCTGCCTCCAGAACAGCGGGGAGTGGCAGCGGGCGGTGTCGCTGCTGGCCGAGCTACGGGAGGCAGAGCTGGAGGTAGACGTCATCGTTCTCAACGCGGCACTGGGCGCGTGCGAGAGGGAGGAGCAGCCGCAGGTCGCGATGTCGTTGCTCAACTCGTTCAGGTGGGCGAGACTGGAGCTGAACGCAATGAGCTTCAATTCTGTCATCGGCGCATGCGAGAAAGTTGGGCAGTGGCAACAAGCGTTGACGGTTTTTGGCGAATTGTGGGGGTCGATGTTGATGCCAGATCTCTTTAGCTTCAGCAACGCCATCAGCGCATGCAAAAATGGCAAGCAATGGCCGCAGGCGTCGCTTTTGTTTCGCATGTTGGTGGAAACGATGTTGGAGCCGGACGTGTTCAGCTACAAAATGTTAATTGGGCCCCACGAGAAAGGCGGGCAGTGCAAACGCGTGATCTCCTCACTCAGCGCAACGTCCGTGATAACGGAGCGTGGTCTTAGCCGGGAGGTTGTGCGCACTGCGCCCGAGAAAAGTTGCCTTCTCGGCTCCATACCTTTCGGTCGCAAGTCGTGGGAGCCCGGTATACCGCCTTACTTTCGTCTTGAGCGTCTGGGAGTCGATGAGATAGCGCCAACTCAGCGTCGGCTAGCGTCGATGTAGCGTCGATGCAGCGTCGATGAAGCGTCGATTTAGCGTCGGTTCGCAAGAGCCGACAAGATGGCATGGGAGGCTCCCATGAGTCGGAGGTTGATAAACCTCCTACCCTCACGCGTCGATAGGCGAACTGGCCGTTCTCGGGTCGCGAGAGGGCGTCGCGGCCGTCATTCTTGCGGGTTCAGGTCCGTCGGTTTCGGTCCTGGGCCGTTTTCACTAAAGGGTGGTTGTTGAAAGGGAAGGCTGTCCTTCGCCGAATGCTTCGCCGCCGGAAAATACCCCTGACGGCGAGCGAGCGGTGCAAGCGCTTTCGGCCTGCGGGCCCGCGGAGGCCGCGCACCGCCTCTCCCCTGGATGCCTCCGCGCAGCCCCCGCCCCCCCGGACCACCCGGCAGCGATTCCTGGACGAAGCCCCGCGGTATGAGGCGTTCCGAAAAAGGCCTTGCCCTCGAGGATCGAGCATGAGTTGGGGTTGCCATCTCTTCCGCGGCGGAAGGCGGCGGGAGCCGGCGGAAGGGCGGCGGAAGGCGGCGGAAGTAACAGGTGCGCCCCCGGGAGATGGGAACGTTTTTGGGGTGCAGGGTTCCCGAACTCCGCCACACGGGGAGAGCAGGGACATCCAGTGGTATAGCGAGGGGGGTAGCCGCCCTGTCGCCCGCACACTCCCGTTCCGCTTGCGCATCGCCTCTGGTTATCATAGAGTGAGGGGCCCGCCGCCGGGGTCAAGTCGGGCATGTCCCTCTACAGGAGGGATGTTCAAAGTATAGACAAAAGATAGGTCTGGGGGCGATTCTTCGATCGTGTTTGACCAGGAGGAGGAGGAGGAGGAGTAGGAGGAGGAGGACGAGGAGGAGGAGGAGGAGGAGGAGGAGGAGGAGGAGGAGGTGGTGACTATTTTCGAGTATTGCTCGACTATCTTAATTTTGTAGGAAGACATGCCCGACCCAACGCTGGGGGCCGCCGCGCAGGCCTCCCTGGCTGTTGGTAATTCCTGGGCCCTCTCGTGGCAGCGGGGAGGCGAGGAGAGACCGGGAGCCCAGCCTGGAGCAAGGCCGGCGCCCTCTGACGAGCAGCCTCCTAAGACGCCTTCTCCTCCTCCTCCCTCCTCCTCCTCCTCCTCCTGCTCTTCCTCCTCCTCCTCCTCCTCCTCCTCCTCCTCCTCCTCCTCCATTCCTTTTCCTTATACATAATGTTTCCCTGTCGCACCCCGAGGCCAGTTTGTAGGGCGGACCGGGCGTTTCGCTTGAGATTTCCTCACCGCTTACGATTCTGAAGCCTAAAAAGTGGCAACCGTTTCACAGATGGAGGGCGGGTGGTTTTCTAAATGTGGCTCTCGCCTAAGCGCCGCGCGCATTCGTTTTTTCACATTTGCAGGAATTTCACGGTCTGAGGGCGGATGATTTTCAAAATGTGGCTCTCGCTTTAGCGCCGCGCACATTCCTTTTAAACATGTGCAAGAGTTTCACGGATTGAGGCGGTTCCTTTTCAAAATGTGGCTTTCGCCTTAGCGCCGCGCACATTCGTTTTGAACATTTGAAAGGGTTTCACGGATTGAGGGCGGGTGGTTTTCAACATGTGACTCTCGCATTAGCGCCGCGCGCATTCGTTTTAAATATTTGCAAGAGTTTCACGGGTTCCCATGATCAACGTACCAGAAATGGTGTTTGGGAAGGATTCAGGATTATGCGGGTGCAAAGCGGTTGTCTTCCATTGAGGTAGTTCCTTCAATGGAAATGAACCGTTGTAGGGGCCTATGAAGCGGGAGCTTGGAGGGAGGGTTTACTCCAACATCGTTGATGACTCTTGGGTTTACACGGTCCTCCTCCTCCTCCTCCTCCTCGCCCTCCCCCTACCCCCAGTTGCGCACCACCACTTGTGGCCACACTGGGGCTGTCTTTCTCGGGGCGTTTGGGGGGCCCTTAGCACCCCACCCCCCGCCGGAGCCTGGAAAGGCGTCCTGTTGGGGGACCCTTTGGGCGCTCTCTTGGGGTGCTCCTGGGAGCCTCGGAGAGCGCCTTGGAGCCCTTCTGAGCCTCGCTTGTGATGGGCAAGTTTTCCACCACCGCTGCCATATGTAGGACGGGGGAGAAGAGAGGATGAGGAGGTCCTCCTCCTCCTCCGCCTCCTCCTCCTCCTGCTCCTCCTCCTCCTCCTCCTCCTCCTCCTCACTCCTCCTGCATATGGTAGTAGTGGTAGAGAATGGGCCCATAATCTTGGCGATCTTGGAGTCACCTTGGTACCTAAGAAGCACATCGGAAGCAACGGGGCGAGGAGCTCAAACCCATGGTCAACCCAGAAGTTGTTGGAGCATTTGGGCATCTGGGGGGCGCCCTTGGGAGGCTCCGAAGTACAGCGGAGCCGTCTTGGAGGCGACTCACAGCATCTCGGAGGGATGGCGGTCCAACTTGGCCCATCGTCTGCCATCCGAGAGGCCACCTTGGGGTGTCTGGGGTCATCTTGGAGCCATCTTTGGCCCACGCGGACCCTCCGCCACATCGCGCACTCCCCGTCCAGACCCGGGGAGGGGACACGCGCCCCACCCTTGCGCCAGCTCCTCCCCCAGGCGCTCTCTTGCGTGTGCGTGCTATTGCCCGGGCAGCGCTCACGCTCGAAGGGGTCTTTGAGATTCCAGGCCCCCTCCGTAGCCACGAGCAACGTGGACCCGGGCAGTTTACAGGCACGCCTGCGAAGCAGCTGGGGGCATGGAGGCTCTTCCAGTGTTGTGGCAGGACACCATTTCTTCGGCCACGGCGTGGCGGGTCGCAGTCAGGAAGTATTGCGATACCGCGCGATAGTGGCTATGTGCTCACGTGCGTTCCGTACTCAGCCTCTTGCTTGCTTGCTTGCTTGCTTGCTTGCCTGCCTGCCTGCCTGCTTGCTTGCTTGCTTGCTTGCTTGCTTGCTTGCTTGCTTGCTTGCCTTCTTGTTCCGTAGCCACACTGCCTCAGGATGCCTCCTTGCTTCGGGCCCCCGCGGCGCCCCCGCCCCGCCGTCTCGCGCGTGCCCCGATCCGCTGATGGGGACAGCGCACTGCCGCGACCTGCGCGTGTGCGGCCCGGGCGCGCCGGCTGGGCGCCGCCCAGAGCCCCGGGACGGTGCCAGCGGCTGCCGGGGCGACGCCACGCCCTCGGCCTCGACCAGCCCCGCCGTGGGCGCCCCAGCCGGCGTGGGGCGCGCCCTCGCGCGGGCCCACTTCGCGGCGGAGGAGCACGCGGTCTGGGGCGAGCGGCCCTGGTGCGGCGTCTGCCTCAGGGGTAGCGCTGGGGGAAGGCAGGCTCTTGGGGGGAGGCAGCTGCCTCCAAGATCCCCCCCCCCTTCTCACCGACGTGGGCCTGGCAGCCCTCCTCGCCCCAGAGCGCCGGAGCTCGCTATATGAGGGGCCTCGCGCCGATCCATGGACGATGCGTCGCCGATGCCGGGTCTGTGCTTCCCCCCTGAGCCAGGCCCCCCCCCGTATCGCTGCCCCTCGCTTCCAGGGGCGGAGGCGCCACGAGTTCGCGACCGGGGCAGTGTACGACGGGCAGTGGCTCGGCTCCGAGCGCGACGGGTGGGGGTCCATGGCCTGGCCGGACGGCAGCCGGTACGACGGCGAGTGGCGCAGGGACAAGGCTCAGCCTCGCGTAAGAGTGGCGCCTTGCCTGGGTGTCCTCTGGAGCGGGCCCACGGGTGTCCCGCCAGCACTGGCCGTCGCGCTTGGGCGGCTTGCACTGGGCCTCCCCAGCGGCCTCCCGGGGCCGCGCGCCAAAGGCCCTCCTTGCCCAGGGTCACTCTTGCGTGAGATTGACCAGGCGACCGGCAGAGGACGCTTCGAGCACTCGCAGGGCGACGTCTATTGCGGGGAGTGGAGCGAGGGCCTCGTCCATGGCAGCGGCGCCCTCCGACACAGCGACGGGACTGTCTACCTTGGGCAGTTTGCCAGCGACCTCCAGCACGGGTACGGCGAGGAGGTCTGGTCCGACGAGTCCAGGTTCGCAGGCGAGTTCTCGTGGGGCAGAAAGTCTGGGGGCGGGGTGTACAGGTGGCCCGACGGCTCTGAGTACGCTGGCCAGTGGCGCGAGAACGAGATCCAGGGCAGTGGCAGTTACAGCGGCAAGGACCGGCGCGCCTTCGATGGCCAGTGGTCCGCCGGGAAGCTGCACGGCTGCGGCCGCTACGAGTGGGCGGACGGCCGGTGCTTCTCTGGCCAGTACGCAGAGGACCGGAAGTCAGGCTTCGGGGTCTTTTCGTGGAGGGACGGCCGCAGGTACGAGGGCTTCTGGCGCGCCGGCTCGCATCACGGGGTCGGCAGGCTGTGCAGCCCACCTCAAGGCTCCCTCCTGGCCGAGTGGGACCACGGCAGTATCCTCAAGCTGCTGGGCCACAGCGGCGCCCACCTCGGGGATCACGGCCAGGTCGTCAAGCAGCTTGGCCACAGCGACAGTCCGCTAGTGCCTTCTGGCCCGGCAGCGCCCTCTGGCTCAGCACGCACCGGCCAAAGCAACACTAAAAACAGCCACCTCGCGACCATCCTGATGGACGGCGTCCAGAGTGTCACCATGCCAGCGTATTGAGCCCGCACTTGCTCCCCGGATCGGGCAACGTCAGCAGTTGGAAGCCAGGTCCCTCTCGCCCTCTCACTCCCCCTACCCCTCCTCGTCCACCCCTTCCTCCCCGAGGAGCCCTTTGAGGGGAATGTGTGAAAGTTGTCGCCCTGGCACCCTGTCTTATTGCAGAAGGGCTTGTCCCCAGGGCGTGCCCTGGCCCTCTCATGGCATCCCTGGGGCGCCTCTGGGGCCGTTCCTGGGGCTCTTCCGGCTACTTCGCGGAGCTTTCCAGGGTCAAAAATTCACATCCACACCCCGGCGCGCCAACCACACCCCACCCCTCTTTCATCATT